GTGTGTATATATATATAAGACTGTTAAGAATAGGACTAATTCTGAATAAACAGCCTATAAGGTAAGGCTATTAAATAATTGCATTAACAAAAACTAGTCTGGGACTGCTGAGTTGGTATGAGCCACTTTTATTTCACGCATTGCATACACTTATTTATCTAACACACATACTCAGTCTACATTTCAATTTGCACATAATATACCTGTACATACAAAACTGTCTATTGTTCTATACCTGTACATACAATTGTCGATTTGTATATTTTTTTTATTCCTTATTTTACTTGTTCTATTTTTTTTATTTATTTATTTATTTTTTTTATATTATCTGTAACAAATTCCTCGTATGTGTAAACATACCTGGCAATAAAGCTCATTCTGATTCCGATTCTGCATGCTCGTAGTTTCTGCGCTTTAGTGAATATAGCGTGGCGCTGCGTTCGAGTGCGTGCTACGAACATGGTATAACAGGATGGTTGGCTTTTCTGAGGTGAAAGACTTTGTATTTCATAACAAGTTATGAAAATAACGATAGAATAAAGACACTGACATTAAACCTGTCAACATCTCATCTGACCGCAGATAGTGAATCGGGACAACTCGTTTTTCTCAGGCACTCTTTACTTAAACTGCATCTGACAGAAGTGTCAACAGCTTTCATGCACATCTTTTAAAATAAAAGTCTCGCATCATAAAAACATTTCTGTTTTTTTGTTGCTGATGTCGTTTCTTTGGCCACACACTCCGCGACGCACTCAGAACGGTCTCGTGACCCACCAGTTGAGAAACACTGCTCTACACCACTCTCCAAGTAGTCTGACCAGTTCCTCTGGTCATTTTGTTGGTTATATTAGGGTAAACAGACTTTCCCTACATGTCAGGCTATAGTGTAAATAGACACTCTGAAATGCAATGAATATAATACAGTACTTTGTGTACTGCTTTTTGTTTATGGATTTTAAATTTTTTTGTAGTTTGTCTGTCTTTCACGGCTGCTGTCTTAGATTTTAGGTTTCTATGGGGAAGAAAAACCTTATTGTAAAACATTTTTTTCTCAGGATTACAGTGTCATTGTTTTTGGTAAATTGTGCATAAAACAAGGAGAGTGTGATAAAAATGTTCATTTTATTTATTCATTTTTATCACATTATGCCATATTTTAGATTGTGATTTAGATAAACTTAAGAAGCTGATCGTATAATAAAACTATTTGCAACAGTAATGCATGTTGACGTATTAAATAACTAAATCATGAATATTTTATCAGCATGTGTGCAGCACACACACAATAAACCTGAATATGTCTCACCCGCTTCTACTCTGCTGCTCTTAATACAGCACTGAGAAAGTTTCAAAGATCCACTGGTCAAGCGGATTATCAGCACATTTTTCAGTATGTGACATGATTAAGAATAAAACATGACTACACATTACCGATCATATATTTCTTGTGCCAGAGAATCCCTTGTGTTCCTGCATGCTACTACATGATCTCACAGGATCCCTTTCCCTTTGACAGACATTCTCAGTGGCCACAGCTGTAGAATATATTTAATGATCAAAAAGCAAATTTTACCTGTCCCTAGGTTGTATTTTGCCATCTTTGAAGTTGAGAGGATGATCAATAGACCAGTTGCTTTTCATGGTCAGGTGGCTGGGTACTGGAGAAACTGATCTTGATCGCTTCCTTGATCTTAAATTAGAACAGCATAGTGCAAAAATAAGTGCGGTTGCATTTATTGCACAACCCACTGTAGAACAAAGATCTTGCAAAAATAAGTGCTGTTGCATTTATTGCACAACCCACTGAGCAGGGTTGAAGAACTATCCTGCAAACATGTCCCTGCGGGGCCCGTGCTGGCTTTTTGCGGGCACAGTGGGCTAGGGCCAGCCCACACCAAACCTAAACAGGCCCAGTGCGGGCTTGCCCAGGCGAGGCCCACAGCTTTGGGCTCACCGCAGGCTCTCTGTGAGCAGGCCACACTAGTGGACTGCCCACATTAATCCAATGATGGCCCAGTGTGGGTCAGCCCGTTCGGGCCCAGAGCAACTTTTGTATCCTTTGGGCCCATGCAGGTTTTGTGTAAAGTTATAGTTGTATTATTGGGAACACGCTTGTCCCAGAGCTATCTGGTTGTTGTTGTTCTCAAAGCTGTAGTTGTATTGGGAACATGCTTGTTCTTAAGCTACCTGGTCGTAATGGGAACATGCTTGTTCTTAAGTTATAGCTGTATTGTATGTTCGTTTGTATAGCGCGCGCAAGGTTTATGCACATAGTCCAAGTCTTCTTCTCCGTTTTTAGTGTATCTCTGTGGCAGAATTACAACACCACATACTGGTCTGGCATGTATACTACATCGTTTTGTGTCGTTTCGTGTGGACGCAGATATTTCTTGAGACGAGGGAAAAAAAAAGATCGGATAGGGAAAGTAGGGAAAGTGTGTGGACTTAGCCTTAACTTCACGTGCGCGCCGGCTCGGTTCCCCTGTCTGTGCGTCCTGAAGCGTTTGATCAGCGCCGCTGCTCGATAATTTGTAGTCCCTTTCAGAGTGTTAAATTAGCTGTATTAACCTGAATTGAATGTTTTCTATTTTGTATTTAATAAATCCATTGATTTGAAATCCCTTTTACTACTGTACATTTTTGACAATACTGACATTTTATGTGGTGACTGCATCCATTTCAGATGTATAATAAAAAAAAAATCCCAACGACTTAAGTTACAGTAGCTTAAAAGTATTTATAGTGAAACAGATGTATTGTTGTATATTAATAGTGCGGGGCCTTGTGTGGGCCTAGTGAGGGCTTCCTGGGGGCTAAGTGAGGGCTGCCGTGCAGGGCCAGCGCTAAAGGGCCAACGTTTTGCCAAAGAGCAAATTCTCAGGGGCCCTACGCTGGCAGCCCGCTGGGGGCCTTTAGGCTAGCCCTAAGTGGGCCCATAAAGGGCCCGTGCAGGCTTGTTTGCAGGGTAGGCTTTAGTAGGTCAGTTTTCAGTCATCTACAGTAATTACACACGCCTGAACATTACTTGACTCTTCACACACAAAATTAATTAGGATAGAGAGACATCTTACTTGTGTTCAGGTAGAATTCCTTCATCTTTGAAGTTCAGAGGATGATCTATGGACCAGTCACTCTTCATGGACATACTGCTGGGTGCTGGGGATGCAGATCTTTGCCGCCTGCTTGATATGCAAAAACATATTAACAATCAGTATCATATAGCTATTAGTCTCAGCCTCAGACGTCATGTCCACGGACCGTTGGCTGAACATCTGATGCACATGGCACACAAAATTGGAAACACTTCAGGAGTTTCAAAGTCATTATCTGATTGGTCGAATTCTACTGGATTTCCAGGAGACGTTTGTGTCGCATTCTTTAACATTCCGCCTGGAAACAAAAATGCTGTGATGCCAAACCCTGTCATGGAAGAAAAAGCCATCGTGTTTACAACTGTGACGATGAGCGCTTATCAGGATCAACTAAATGCTGGATTTTCAAAAGTATGTGAAATATGTAATGTTCACAGCATAGGCTCTTTAAAATACGTCCAAGAGTTTTACATGCCAGTCTGTTACTGTGGGGACATTTCCACGCCCCTAAACTTGATGCGGCACAAAACAAAACGAGATTGGTTACTTTGCCTGTCAATCATATGGCATCATCAGTCGGAAGGTCTTTTTTTTTTTCAAAAGTCTTAACACCAATTCAGCATTTTACATCATATACTTATGTAATAAACACTAGCATTCAAAAACCACCACAAAATCATTCCAACTTGTGCACAGTACACATAAAAATCAGTAGATATTTTGAAATGAGTGATTGATGTTATGAAAAGGGTATTGATGATTACCTTGACTTAAGATCTAAACCATACAGTAAGTGCTGAATTATTTCTATGAACAGCTACAATGTATATGCAAGAAATTCATTTACAGTTCTCATGTGTATTATAGGTTTAGGAAATTAGTCTTACACCCAGTCTATCCTGGACTTGAGCATTGTGTCAAGTTGCATCAAAAGCAAACATATCTCATTATTAAGTGCTGAAATTATTTGCCGACAGCTGAATATACTGTAACTGTTTTAGTAATAACTAGGTAGAATTTAGTATATAATTGTTCAAATAAGTGACACAGAGTTTCAGTTGGCATGACTGAAAGCTGTTTGACCTTGTATACCATCTATCGTAATGGTAAGGTTTTACAAGAATTCGAAGCTTGTAAGGTATAAGCCATATAAAGTAAATATAAAATATATAGTAATTGTTCAATAAAAATTTAGCTTATCATTTATTCACACACCTGTTGTTCCAAACCCGTATTATTTTCTTTCTTACGTAAAACTATAGATGCTTATTTTATTCTATACTATAAACATGAATGGAATACAAGTCTAACATTCTGTCTAAAATCTCCTTTTTTTTTTCCATGGAGGAGGAAAAATCATAGAGACTGGATTAACTGCTGCTACTGAATTAAGTACTTTTCAAATAAATTATGTTTAAATAATTCAGTAAATATGACTTAAGAATAACTTGATATAAAAAGCATCATAATTAAAAATACTCCCCACATTCACCACATTAACGTAACTGTTGGAGCTTATGATGCTCTAGGTGGGTCCAGTTACCAACCTTCTTGTCGGCCTGCTGCACCATCATCACTTGTTGTTCTTTCACGTTCCACCAGCTTTTGGTAGTAGCGGCAATCGACCAATTCACACAGGTAATGAGATGGTGCATCCATGTTCCCTTGATGTCGACTGTGTCCCAGGAAAGCTGTTTTCTGGCATAGCAGGTGACACTTCTTGGACTTGCACAACCCAGCTTGGTGGATGGCAGCAAAGACTTTGTGGGGATGTTACAAGACCCCCGTACAACAGGTCATGTAAATATACAAAACAACATCACAACATCAATACCCACAGCCACTTGTTAGAGCTTTCTTCCCCTGATGGATGCCTGCTCCCCAGTCACTGTCCTCATTTGCATAGCAGCCAGCTGTTTGCAGTCCTTCAGTTCCTGGAAGGGTCCCAGGGTGAACAATAGAAATGGTGAACCCAGTGTTAATCAGGGCATGGCAAAGATAATCATCAAGGAGATAAAATGCGTATAAGCCCTGAATATGGCCTACCAGTGAGCACTTGCCATGGAGGGGAGTAGATTGTGGTGGGAGTAGATGATCCCTTCACCCAGCCGTGAAATGTGGGGTAAGGGCTCCGGCAACAGGACAATCTCCCCACAGCAGTAACGTGGGTCTCGACTGGTTTGCGGTGTAATGGTACTCATTTGACACGTTCCCTCAGTGTCATTGTCATCAGCATGCACAGGCTGTTGTACTCTGGCAGGACAGTTGTAGAATGATATTGGCACTCGCTTTGTAACTAACACAGGCTCTAATCCCTCCGTCTCCATCAACGCCTAGGCCAGGGACTTTGTTGGAACATTTAGATGAATATGCTGTCACAGCTTTTCTGGCAGCAGAGCTTGCAGGAATACATGAATAGCTAGCTCCTCTTGCACAGCTCCATCACACTGCGCCACACATAAAATCTGCGGCCAAAGAACCCATGCTCTCTTCTTCTTTTCTTCACCCACCAGCCAGCTGTTCCCATCTTTGCTTTGCTGTTTGCCGTGCCTGAAACTGTTGCTCAAGTGTGGCTGTAAGAGTCTTCTAGTCCCACTGTTCTGTAGGCATAAGGTCCAGGAGCACATGTAATGCTGGTCTCTTGAGTGTCAGCGCCAGTTGAGCAGCTGAATCCTCCTTACTCTACCTAGCCCACAAGGCCACCAGCTGTATTTGGGTGTAGTGCGTCTCAGGCAGCACCAATCCATCGTACCGGGGAAGCTTAACAGTGTTTAACCCGCACTGGATTCATTCACCACCAATCAGGGCAAAACTTCCATTGCCGCACCCACAATTCCAGTGATGGGGGGTGGTCGCCTCTTCAGCAGTACAAAACCAGCATGCTCACTCTCATCAGTCGATGTTTTTTCTGATGTATGTTGGCAGGAGTGTTTAAAAGTCATTTTTTAAATTTAGTCTTAGTCCTGTGTCAGATGTACTTTTTAGTTATCATATTTAGTCAACTTGCCCCGTTTTTGTTCAGTCAAGTTGTAGTCGACTAAATGTTTGAGCATTTGAGTCTAGTTTTAGTCAATGAAAACTCACATTTTCATCATGCTGTATAATGATTCAACTGATAAAAACTGATTATTTTGTTCAAAATTATAATTGCAATGATTGTCATTTGAGAAATTTATTTTTACATTTCATTAGAAGTACTGCACTTTCACCAAGAAGCACAGATTAATAGAATGTCGACTCATACACATGGTTTATTTGACCTCATCTATTGTATTGGTATATAATAGGCTATTTATTATATAAATTAATATCAAAGACTTAGATATACACTCTCTCTGTCTACATAATGAAAACTGGTAAAAACAAACAAAAATATATTATAACAGTGAAATTCCTAATTCCCAATAAGGTTTCTTTATAAAAACCAGTGGTGTAATGTAACAAATTAATAATACTTCGTTACAGTACTTAAGTATTTTTTGGGAGTATCTGTACTTTACTTGAGTTTTTATATTTCAGCCAGCTTTCACTTTTACTCCACTACATTTCCTAATTAAAATGTATACTTTTACTCCAATACATTTCCCTGAAGCATATTCGTTACTTACTACAAAATAGTCAGAAGTCAGAAGAACACAGACTGCAGGAAAGCAGGTTTGACGAATCAGTGGTCTGGCACTTATGAATATGCTAATTGGCGTATGATGTCATTTAGCGACTTTTCAAGCAGGCTTTAGCTACTTTCCATTGAAAGAAGTTGGCAACACTGTATACACAGAGAGAGAGAGAGAGAGAGAGGGCTGACTGCGGAAATGAGGGTGTGCAATTACCTGGGTCTGTCTTTCTTCAGGTCAACTCATATAATCATGAAAAAATCAGTTTGCCATCAGTTGTGAGAAGATGAAAGCGATATCTGTGTCGTTGTATCCTTTCAGTATTTAAGGGGATTTCCCATAAGGGGATTTCACATGACTGTTGTCAGCGCTGTTCAGTACACTGAATCAATGGCATTGTTCTCTATGAAGTGAAATATCAGCTTCACTGTAACCCATGTGATGCGTTGATTGTTGATTGAGCCTTGTAAACTGGCACTCAAAGTAAATTAATGTCAACACCTTGTTTCATTCATGAATGAATCAGCGTTTTTAAGTGTATCCACTGAATGAATGTTTTTTTAATGATGACTCACTCGAAAGTCAATCCATTGCCGCCACCTGCTGGTGTAACAATGCCTGACAGCCCAGCGCTGATACTGAAACATCACTATATAGTCAGTGGCATAAAATGGTCATAAAATGACAATAATATTGTTTCTCGAAATTATTTCTAGGGCAATATATCGCTAAATAAAAAAAATAGTTAACAAGACCAGCCTATGGACAGGTGGCTTGATAGGCCATCTATCAGTGGACCTGACACCAGAAGAGCTAAGAAAAATGGACAGCACAAAAACACGTCAATATCAATGGGGGGCGGGGGTCCATGAGGTTGGTTTGAGATATTATGGGGGTCCAGTACTCAAAAAAGGTTGAGAAACACTGGTCTAGCACTTGCAAGTTAGACTCCTAAAAAAACACCTTTGCTAATGTGCAAACAAGTGCTCACACAACCACGGTCATTTTCCAGTCAAAGTCGAGGCTTGGGTGTGCGATATACAGTATATCTTCTGCAATAATATGGTAAGTGTTGTTGTAATGATGTGCGATCTGACATTATTGTATAATTTAATATAGTTAACTTACTCTATATCAAAGAGTGATTTTTTCCCCCAGATAGGCTATCAGCATGATAACAAATGTAATTTAATAATAGTTTAATAAAGTTAGCATTAAGTGACTTACATTTTAGACACAATATTGCCTGTTTTGCCAACGAAAATAGTTCCAAACAAAGATCACAGCACTGTTTTGCATCTCTGAGCAATGGACAGTGTTTACTTATTGAATGAATCAGCTTTTTGAACAAATCGGTTGATTAAATGATTCAGTGGTTTTAATTTGACATTTTGACTACTTTTTTCATGTTTTAAATTATTTCAAATATCAGTATCCAAAGTTTTATGTTAAAAACAAAACATTAGGCCTATTTATGCATCTGTAACTGCAGGTTAAATGCATCCATGTCCCCTCTGAGCTACATTGAACTGTGTAAATGCATCAAAATGCCACTTCAGATGCAGATTCCATGCCACCTCTGCATTGCAAACACAAATTTTG